GAAGAGCAAAGCTTATGTCATTGGTGTGGTAGGAGGCAGGGATATAATGAGTAAGATGGTATGGCAGGTAAACTGGCAATGCTTTGCAAGAAAGCATGGCCTGAAAATTCACTGAAATACAGCACAAACAGGAAGTAGCCACAGAGGGAGCGTCGCTGAGTCAGAAGTCGGGCGAGGGCTCCCTCTGCTGGCATGGTGTTACAATAATAATAATAATAATAATAATAATAATAATAATAATAATAATAATAATACATAAATAAATAAATAAAATAACAATCTAATAATAATAAATAAATCATCCACCAAAAATGTCAAATAATTTCCCCATCTTCTCTGATAAACATCCAATTTATCTAGAAATCTATGACATTTTTTTTCATATGCTGCCACCATCCCCAATTCTGTAACCCATTCTTGAAATAATGGTGGACCTGCTGAACGCCATCCCCTCATAATGATTTGTCTTACATTCATAATACTTATTTGAATTCACTAAGACATATTCCCACCAAATCCCAACAGGAACAGGTCTCCCAGTACATATATTTTAGGACAAAACGAAAAGCAGCATCAAGAAACATCCTGAATGTAATAATGCACTTTAACCCAGAATTCCGGTATTTTAGAACAAGACCACGGGGCATGCATTCAGTCTCCTTCTTTGCTTTTGCATCTCCAGCATTCAGCAGAGTCCTTCAGCCCAAGCCTGAATATCCTACTCGGAGTCCAATAACAACGATTTAAAATTTTTAATTGGATTAAGCATACTCTTAAATTTCTTGACATTACTTTACAGTTTTTGCAAATCATTTTCCAATGTTCATCGCTAAATGTACAATTTCGATCTTTACTCCAAACAGTTTTAAGTGCAAAATGGAAACTACACCCCATCTTTTTCAGTAACCATTTATAATACACTGAAACTTCAATATTAACCTTGTTTTTAAAGCATTGACGTTGATAGTCCCATTCACTTGCTTCATCAGCATTATCTCTCAATAATGGATTGTTTTTCTGTTCATCTGAAGAAAAAAGTCATGTAGAGTACATTTTGTCTGGGGTGAATTTGCAATTGAGATATTCAGAGTATCCCTTTGACAAACTGTTGAGCATCACATTCCAAAAATCTCCATAACTGACATAAAAAAGCCAAAAAACTTTATATAGGGCCTACATTTTTATTTCTGTTGCAGAGAGATTCACTCTAGGAGGACCTATTATGTTTGTTGTAGGCAGTTTTGATTGAATGTATTTGTTAAAGGCCACAAACCCTCCAGTCATCTTTCTCATTTGTCATATGGCAAATAAAACAGGATGATCTACACTTTGCTGTGTGGATTCTGAGCATACATTTCTCAAGGCATCAGATTCAGTCCTCTGAATCGTTAATCTTTCACGGGGAGATCCCATGCAGTAATACTGATGTATTATGCATTCCAGGGAGTTCATTTAAATGCAGAGACACAATGGCGACACACTGCTATATATTTGACAAACAGACAAAGCAGTGTGACTGTAAAGGTCAATTGCTGCTTCTTCGACAACACATTTTCTATTCTGAGCGGAGCTTCCACAGCATGGTGTGTGTATCAAATAACCCAAGATCCTCATCGCTGATCTGATGGTGACCTTGAGCCCTAGTACTACAACAAGTATATGAGTTACATCTGTGACACAAACAGAGGATGGCCTGTCATTCTGTAGGACCCTATGATTTCCACCATGCAGACAATGTAGATGGAATTACAGAGCACAGCCATAAAAATTTAATTTGCATTAAATCACAATGGAATGCAGGGTTTATCAGTTTGTGAATGAAAAAATATGGCCGTCATAGGATGTATTGTAGTCCTCATGGGAGATTTACACACGGGCAAACTCTAACGATGAAGTCAGGTGCATTCTAGTCACTTTCACTGAGCACTTTCATAAATTAATTTAATACATTTTCATTGAATTTGAGTGTGCAACTTGTAAACGGAATTTCTGATGTGACTTCAATACACTAATGGCACGCTTCCACTGAGTGGTACGGTGTGGTTCGGTGCACTTTTATGGTCATTTTCACTGTCAAAGGGTACCTAAAAGCAACTGTACCTATTGCAACTGAACCTACTGCAACTGAACGCTATTGGTGAACAGAGATACGTCACTCACAGAAGACAATTTTTAAAAACACAGCTGAGACATTACACAGTAATAATATATATACATATAATTACAAGCCATGGTCGACCTGACCTCAAACAAACCTTGTCGGGATCTTGATGTACAGCCACAAAGACAAGAAGCCCTTTCAGTTGCAAACCAGAACTGGAAAACATCCATACACACTCATTCACAGTTATACACTACAGACAACTGATCTTAATCAATTCACCTATATGAACCGCATGTTTTTGGAGTAATAGTAGCAATATTTTAATAATAAAAGTGAAGTTAACAAGCAGGGCAGTTCTCAAAACCTACCTGAGTTCAAACTCCTCTCCCATGATATGTTTGATATTGTTAATGGTTAATGGTAAATTGGAATTGCTGATTAAAGGCTCATGAATGGTGCCAATAGAATATATGCGGATGTATGCTAAAGGACTTTTAATTTGACAGTAACCTTGGTCAAGCGCTTCCGGTGAACTGTATGCCATTACAAAATTGGCTCGTTTAAGGCCTGTTTTCTTTAAAAATCAGCTATCTCCACTGGCTGAGTGATATCCAATATAAAGTGGGTCTCAGATTGTACAAGAAAAACTGCATTAAATTACATTTTTCCCTGCCATGACTGACCCATGAGTCTGTTTTAAATTTACAAATTGTGTTATAAACTTATGAATTGGATTTGCTCATCTATAAATTGGTTTTTGAATTTATGAATTAGATTTGTATATTTATGAACTCTGTTTTGAATTTATGAAGTGGATTTGCATGTTTATGAATTTGGTTTTGAATCTGTGAATTAGATTTGCGTATTTCTAAACTGTGTTTTGAATCTGTGAATTAGTTTTGCGTATTTATGGAATGTATTTTGAATTTAAGAATTAGATTTGCGTATTTATGAATTGTGTTTTGAATTTATGAATTAGATTTGTGTATTTATGAATTGTGTTTTGAATTTACGAATTGCGTTTTCAATGTATTAAATGTTTTAAATTTATGAATTGGATTTGCACATTTATAAATAATATTTTGAATTTATGAATTGGATTTGTGTATTTATTAATTGTTTTGAATTTGTTAATTGGATTTGCGCATTTATGAATTGTGTTTTAAATTTATTAATTGGATTTGCGTACTTATGAATTGTTTTGAAATTACAAATTACGTTTTAAATGTATGAATTATTTTAAATTTATTAATTGGTTTTGCGCATTAATGAATTTTATTATGAACTTATGAATTGGATTTGCGTATTAATGAATTGTGTTTTAGATTTAAGAATTAGATTTGTGTATTTATGAATTGTGTTTTGAATTTATGAATTGGGTTTTACATTTATGAATTATTTTAAATGTATAAATTCGTTTTTTGTATTTATTAATAATATTTTGAATTCATGCATTAGATTTTCGTATTTATGAATTGTGTTTAAGATTTATGAATTAGATTTGCACATTTATTAATTGTTTTTGAAATTATGAATTGGATTTGCACATTTATAAATTGTTTTAAAATTACAAATAGTGTTTTAAATTTATAAATTAGATTTGCATATTTATGAACTGTGTTTTAAGTTTATGAATTGGATTTGCATATTTATGAATTGTGTTTTGAATTTATAAATTGGATTTGCGTATTTATGAACTGTGTTTTAAACGTAAGAATTAAATTTGCATATTTATGAATTGTGTTTTGAATTTACAAATTGGATTTGCGCATTTATGAATTGTTTTGAAATTACAAGTAGTGTTTTAAATTTATAAATTGGTTTAAATTTATGAATTAGTTTTGAGCATTTATGAATTATATTTTGAATTTATAAATGGGATTTGCATATTTATTAATTGTGTTTTGAATTTATTAATTGGATTTGTGTATTTATGAATTGTGTTTTGAATTTATTAATTGGATTAGTTGTGTTTATAAACTGTTTTGAATTTACAAACTGAGTTTTAATTTTATTAATGGGATTTGCATTATTATTATGAATTTTATTTTGAACTCATGAATTGGATTTGCACATTTATAAATTGTGTTTTTTATTTTTATATTAGATTTTTTTTTTAGTTTTTTTTTTTAAATTTTTATATTAGATTTACATATTTATGAACTGTGTCTTGAATTTATGCATTGGATTTGGGCATTTATGAATTGTGTTTTGAATTTAAAAAATCGATTTTCACATTTTTGATTTGTGTTTTTATTTTATAAATTGGATTTGTGCATTTATGAATTGTGTTTTGAATTTACGAATTGGATTTGCACATTTTTAAATGGTATTTTGTATTTACAAGTTGAATCTGTGTATTTATGAATTGTGTTTTAAATCTATAAATTGGATTTGCACATCTATAAATTGTGTTTTGAATTTATGAAATGAATCTGTGTATTTATGAATTGTGTTTGGAATTCAATTTTGTAAATGTGAATTGTAAATGTATTATTTTTGAGACTGATCTGGCTCCATATAAGCTGCAGCACATCAGAGTAAACTCTCATCTGTTCTAAATTTGGTCAAAACAGTGTTTTTTCTTCTATGGGTAATTCATGTGGCTGAGAATGTGAATATTAGCCCATTTCTGAAGATTTTTGTAAGTTACCTATAGGTCAATACTTTACATATTAAATATTATCAATACTGAATATTGATTAAACATTAATATAATACTTCCATTATTTTAACAATATTGAATCAATGCACTGTATGGCAACTTTATCATTTTGTGGAAATGGTAAAACATAAATCATTTTAGATAAAGATTTCAAACAATCTGAGGATCTTCATTCATTGATTCATCCCTACCCTTGATCTACATCTTTCTGACAGAGCAGTTTTACTGTACCTGACACAGTGATGTGGCTCTGGGATCGTCGGATGACTTTCCGAGGCTTGCTGAGAGCCATCAGGACAGCAGTTTTAGGAGAGTCCAGAGTCTCTTTATCCCCAGCAGAAAAGGTCCTTGTCCGGGAATGGGCTGTCCCTCTGCGGATTACAGTGTCTTTCAACAGGACGGTTTCTCCTACCATTCGACTAGTTTCTGTGGACATGACTCTGCTGGTTCGGGATATGGTATCGGGATCCTGTGGGTCAGTCTGAATAGCAGTTTCTATTCGCTCTGAGCTGGGCCGCCGCGAGCGATCCTCAGTGGAGATGCAGACGTCCACCATCTCTGAGCCGAAAGCAGGAGGAAACATGACCTGCGAGAGGCCGCTGAGAGAGCTGACCGGCGTCCCGGATGACAGAGAAGAAGTGGAGGAGTATGAATCTGAGCCCTGAGAGGACGACGGCTGACCTCCGTTCGCCACTGAAAGGGAAAAATAGAAAGTTTACGTTTTTTATGGATCATTTCACTGGAGCTCCGTCATTCACAGTCCAATTTTGAATGGAACTTTTATGTATTGCAATAAAATAATTTGTAACTTTGATAAGTTACATAGAAATTAAGTTGTTTAAAAGTTATTTCTCTTCATTAACTTACCCTTTACTGAGTAAAAGTATAAAGGTACACTCTCAGAAAAAAAGATGCAATGTTGAGCCAGAGAAGATACAAACCCTTGCAGTTTGTACCTTTAAGGACATGATTTGTACCATGGGAAACCAAAAGGTACCCTTGGTTTTTAAAACCTGCAGAAACAATTTTGTATCTTTATCAAAGGTTCAAATATGATCCATGAAGGTACCACCACAGTGACAAGACACTTTGTACCTTAACACTGTCAAAATGCTTTAAACATTTATTTAAAATGCTTTAAACATTTAGTTTACAATGCCTAAAGCGTTATGTTTTACCAGTTGTTTTATATTATTGTATTATAGAACTTAATAATTAATGTTTATAAGTTTCGTTAAAAGTTTCTTTTAAATGATGATTCTTGGTGTAATATGTAAACTATTAATAAAATCACTTTCAGTCATATTTATTTTCATAGGTGTTGTAATAAAGGAGTTGCTCAACCTTTTTGTACCTTGTATATGAGAACATTATTGTACCACTGTGTACCTTTTTTCTGAGAGTGTAATATAAAGCTAACTGGTTTTAATCTAGTCAAAATATTAGTAAACAGAAAAACTTATTACTTAATAAACAAATCAATTTATTTTTATTCTTTTTACTGTAGAATTAAATTAAATTAAATTAAATTAAATTTTGTTTTAATAGATTAAACTCCTCTTGAAAGTAACAATTGCAAGTTACCATATTTGACTGATAATCGTAATCTTTGTAAAATAAAATTAAATAAATTAAATCAATATGAATTTATTTTATTATATTTTCATTAATTTATTCATTCATTTTCTTGTCAGCTTAGTCCCTTTAATAATCAGGGGTCGCCACAGCGGAATAAACCACCAACTTATCCAGCAAGTTTTCACGCAGCGGATGTCCTTCCAGCCACAACCCATCTCTGGGAAACATCCACACACTCATTCATACACACACTCATACACTACGGACAATTTAGCCTACCCAATTCACCTGTACCGCATGTCTTTGGACGGTGTGGAAAACCGGAGCACCCAGAGGAAACCCACGTGAACGCAGGTAGAACATGCAAACTCCACACAGAAACGCCAACTGAGCCGAGCCGAGGTTCGAACCAGTGACCCAGCGACCTTCTTGCTGTGAGGTGACAGCACTACCTACTTCGCCACTGCGTCGCCTTATTTTTATTTTATTTTATTTTATTTTATTTTATTTTATTTTATTTTATTTTATTTTATTTTATTTTATTTTATTTTATTTTATTTTATTTGCAAAAACTCCTCCTGAAGGTAGCAATTGCAAGTTACCGTGTTTGATTAATAATGGTAACCTTTGTGAAAATAAAATAAAACATTTAATATTTATGAGATTAGTACTTCAATAAAATGAATTCAAATAGATAAATCATGTTTAAAAAAGAAAAAAAAATCATACAGACCTAAATGCCTGTAATTATTCTCCATATCATTTTTCTTCTGGGCAAACATTATATCAATGTCAGTAGTGTTAAATGTGAAGCACGACTACACAAGCTTCTGTCCCACAACCTAAATACCCCAGAATCACCCTGATGTTACAAACACGCGCAATCCCGGATGATTTATCTGAATCTGAACATTACGGCCTAATCCGTTGCTATTTTCAGACACTGCCATCCATATTAAATGGAAAACAGAAAATCAGAGAGCAAAAAAAAAAATCTGGCATGTGACATGTGACATGTGGCCCGTTTTTGGTTTAATCTGGAGATGAACCATCCCAATCCATACTTTTGATTTAATAACTGGGTTTCTTACATAAGTGCAAATGTAGGGGTCACACAAACAGCACACAACCAATGTTTTTACATTTGCAACAGAGTAATTAAAGAGATTAGACATTAAATAGTATGTTAAGTAGGTAATGTTTACATACATTTATTAAGCCAGCTATACTCCGCCACCATCTCCTTGTAAGCAGGGTATCGTCCGGCTTCCTACAACAACAAGTTACACAACAAATAATCTCTGTGAGAAAAGCAGAGCAGCTTTAATTACATTACACACCAGTTTAAATGTTCTGTCGTGGATGTAAGTTTGAAAAAAGTGTCAAAAAAAAGTTTTTGGAAAGACATGACCTTGTTTTTGTCGCTCCAGGAGTACACTGACCTTAATATGGGCTCTCTTGTGGTCACAGTTAGTTGAACAACATACAGGATCTGGATTCAAACAGACTGGGGCTTGTATGATGATGATGATGATAATAATAATAATAATAATAATTATTATTATTATTATTAGTAGTAGTAGTAGTAGTAGTAGTAGTAGTAGTAGTAGTAGTAGTAGTAGTAGTAGTAGTAATAGTAGTAGTAGTAGTAGTAGTAGTAGTAGTAGTAGTAGTAGTAGTGATATACTGGTGGAAAAAACAGGCTATTCATGTGATGTGCTTGCTTTGAACTATGATCACTGGACAAGAGGGTCGAACCTCCTTTTGAAGACAGCAAGCCAAGTTTGTTGATCATCGTCTATCATGACTGAGTGTACAGGCAAACTCATGAATTTAAAAATGACACCAAAATCTCTGAGAATACACTTTGAATTTAGCTAACAGATCCAAAAAAATCATATAATATGTTTATACAGTCAAATGTTAGCTTTCATTGCTTAACAGATAAATTAAAGTTTTCATTCAATCAAAATGTTGGCACAGTAATGTGAAACCATGATCAGATTCATGGCGAACAGATGATCATAAAATATTTGTTTCGTTTGATGAACAAAACCAGTGTGAAATGATTCATAATCTGGACTGATCTGGGGTGTGTTTCGCAAAAGCATTGATAGTGAACTGTTTTAAAGGGCACCTATTTTACCTCTTTTACAAGTTGTAAGATAATCCTTTTGGTCAGAATGTGTCTGTAAAGTTTCAGCTCAAAATATCCATCAGATCATTTATTATAGACTCCAGAATCTGCCCAGTGTAGCTGTTTTTGTAGCCTGTGGCTTTAAATGCAAATGAGCTGGTTCTCCCCACCCACCGTTTCCACGTGCGTGTCTGCTTCATTTATGTCCAAGTGGCAACCTCCTGCTCTCCCTCATGAAGCAAATATGGAAGTAACTGAAACTGCAATTCATTGAAATTCCACTAGTCCTGGATCCATAATACAGCAAATTTCTATTGACCCCACTTTTAAAATGGCCAACTTTACAGCAAACAAAAAGGTGTTTACAGCCTGACACAAAGAATGATTTTGGTTCATATAGTTAATATTACCCTTCATGACAACTGTGAGGGGGTGATTTTTTTTTTATAACTCATCTGTTTCCTTTATATTAGATTTTCACCAACCATTCATGCGGCCTCTGTTTCCCAGGCAAGTAAAATTATATACTTATATACCATCTCTATAAATGTATTTGTTTTATTTAAGATCATTTATCATTTATATTTTTCTTTAGACCTGTAAAGCACTCCAGAAACTGAAAGATTGATTAGCTGTAGGCTCTAGAACAGGGATAGGCAAACTTGGTCCTCAAGGGCCGGTGTACCTGCAGAGTTTTGTTCCAACACTAGTCAAACACACCTGAACAAACTAATCAGTGTCTTCAAGATCACTAGAAATCTATAAGCAGGTGTGTGTGATTAGAGCTGGAGCTAAACTGTGCAGGACACCAGCTCTCCAGGACTGAGTTTGCCCACCCCTGCTCTAGAACATTCATTTGAAATGCTGTCATAAAGTGTTATGCCTGGATTTCATAAATAACCTTTTTACTAACACAGACTATATTTAAAGAATTTGGAAGTAATTTGCGTTTCCCTACAGTAAAAAAAAAAAAAAAAAAAAAACGTTATAAGAACTGTAGCTGCTTCCCACATGGCACACTATACAATAAGCACTCATGCACTACTTGTGCACTTACACACTCAACAGCATAGTATATGTATGTAGTGTCGTCCCAAATGGAACACTAATGTTTTTTTACTAAGCGAAAATTCAAACCACTTCCCAGATGATGTTTGACGGTTGCCAAATTAGTGAACTACCCAAGAATACCTGCCATGAGTATAACCAAATTAATTATAAAGACGTGCTACAATCACTCTCATAGGAGAATTTTGCTTTCACAATCCAAAATAAATAAACTTATCCAACACGTGCGCCCGATAGCTCCACCCCTTCCGCTATGTGAGCAAAGAATAAGTTCATTATCCAGGTAATTAAAGTGCACTTAATATTTTTTACGTTTTTTGTGTGAACGCACAACTTACACTATTTATACTACAAAATGGCATAGAATACTGCATAAGTATGTGATTTGGGACGAACCTAATGTTTAGTGGCTCAATGTATTACAACAGTGTTTTTAAAAGTCTAAACACTTTATTGATATAGTATGCAACCAAGCACATGTGGTCAGAACACAACGAGTTGAAGAAATGAAGTTTTAAGCAAAGTGCTAGCAGGCGTCTGTAGCTCCGCTCATGATCCGCATCTTTGGCCTTGTTTGGTGTTCCCAGGGCGGTGCAATGACGCGCGAACAATACGGCGATAGCTGGTAACTTCTTTTAGGTTCTTCAGAAACCTATGAGTGACGTCACAGATACTCTGTCCATATCTTAAACAGTCTATGGTTACGTCAGCTAAACAGCACAGTGACAGAGACATATTTGGATGAAGCTAAAATACAGCTCATTGGTCAGAAATAACAAGTTTATTTCAAGCATGTGTGGTGGAGTTTATTCAAGCCTTTCTGAAATGATGAGTCACACACAAACACCATTTTAATGTCAGGAAACTTTAAAAAAGAGATTTCTTGGGTTTATAACACTCCAGTATGACTGTGGACACACCATACATACAAACAGTTCTTTCCAAGCAACTTACAAAAGTTGATTTTCATCATAGGTGCCCTTTAAATTTCATTTACCTGTAATGACATGACTGTAACGAATGCAAATTTGGAGTCAGCGATTCTTTTGTGCCTATTGCTTCTCCATAGAGACGTTTACCGGAGTAATAACTTACATTTAAGTTCATTCATTAAAGGGCACCTATGTGCAAAATCAACTTTTTGAAGATGTTTGGACAAAACTGTGTGTAGGCATAGAGTGTCCACAGTCATACTGGAATGATACAAACACAAACACACAGTTTCTTTTTTTAAATTCCCTGACGTTAACATAGGATCCAAATCCCAGTGTACATGTCTCCATCGTAATGCCTATACACATGTCCACAAAACAGGATTTGCAAAGAAATTGGGATTAAAATATATTTCTAAATCTCTGGGATCATCTGCATCTCAAGATTGAGTTTTACGAGTTTTTAAAACAGTGCATAATTGAAATATAAAAATTACAATGTAATTCATAACCGCTTGAATTTGCACAGCTGCACAATGTCAGTACAACTATATGAGGACATTTCAAACACACAACAGGACTCCCGGTTTGATAACATTAAATTAAGTTTTTTTTTTTTTGTACAGTAGCATAATGGATATCTGTTGTGATTGCCCTCACTGGAGATCACTCCCTGTACCCTCACCTCAACTACAATTCCCATGAGACATTGCACCAATCAACTCCTGGTACAGCTGACAATAATCTGGACAGACACGCACACGCACACACAGCTGGAGATCATTTACACTGATTACACACTATTTTTACCATTTACATTCACCTCCGTTGCTGAGGCTTGTTAGCTGTTGCTGCATTACTAAGCGGTCAGCCTTGTGTTTTATCATTCTGTGTTTTTGATCCTTTGCTTTGTTTGTCTTTTTTTTATTCTTGCCACCTGTCTCAACTTTTTGCATGTTATATCGATTACATTTTAGATTTTCTATATTGCTCTGTATGCTGGCTTTCAACCCCTGCCTGTTTGACTGCTCTGATGAACTGCATTTGGACTGCAAACTTTGTAATGGCATTTGTGTGTGATTCTTCATTGCAGAAAAACTTGAATAAACTCCACCGCAAACATATCAAATAACCTTACTTGGTATATTTGACTCATAAACTGAATTCATGCTCCATAAACTGAATCCTGAATTTGCTTCATCTGTGTCTTTCTCCATCACTTGAGCTGTTTATCTGAAATGGTGCAGTAGAAACAAACGTATGTGGGAACAGACGGGCGGGAAGAACCAGCTTATTTGCATTTAAAGGCACAGGCTACAAAAACAGCTACACTTTCCTCTGAGCCCAAAATGGGCATATTCAGCATTGTCTTATAACTAATCTGATGGGTATTTTAAGCTGGAAATTTACAGACACACCCACAAACACCAAAGGCTTATCTTACATTTTGTAAAAGGGGTATAATAGGAGCCCTTTAAACAAATCTTTGTAAAAAAAAAAAAAAAAAAGAAAAAAGCTTGGTATACTTCTGTGTCGAGTGCTCAGCATGACCCACAGCGCATGCCTTGAGCTTTGCCATGCATTTAAACTTCTACGCTCTGTTTGTGTTGCTATGCAATAACTCTTTCATATGAACAGGATTGAATTGGCAAATTTCAAGCAAGGGCTATACTGAAAGTATGTACAGAATGCTGATATTTTCTTTCAGTAGTAACCTATAGATTATATAAACTTGGTAAAATAGTAAAATAATATTCAAAAATTCTATATATGCATACACATTTATAATTTAATATATTATTATTTAATATAAATTTATTAATATTATTTGTTTATATACATACAAGATGGTGATGAGTGACGCAGTAGGTAGTGCTGCCGCCTCACAGCATGGTTGCTGGTTCGAGCCTCGGCTGGGTCAGTTGGCGTTTCTGTGTGGAGTTTGCATGTTTTCCCTGCGTTTAAGTGGGTTTCGTCGAGGTGCTCTGTTTTCCCCCACAAGTTCAAAGACATGCAGTACAGGTGTATTGGGCAGGCTAAATTGTCCGTAGTGTATGAGTGTGAATGTGTGTGCGGATGTTTCCCAGAGATGGGTTTCACCTGGAAGGGCATGGGCTGCGTAAAACGTGCTGG